TCTCATTTATATGTGGAATCTCAAAAAGCCAAACTCATACGAAAAAGCATTGCCAGGGCTTGGGGGGGCGGGGTGGGATCAGGAGGTGCTAGTCAATGGGTACAAACTTCCAATTGTAAGATAAATAAGTTCTGGGAATGTAATGTGCAGTGCAGTGACTACTGTTAACAACACAGTAATCATATATTTGATATATGTTAAGAAATTTGATCTTAAATGTTCTCACCACACACACACACACACACAGACTAGTAACTATGGGAGGTAACAATGTGTTAACTCACCTTGTGTGGTAAGCATTTCACAATATGTACATATACCAAATCATCACATTATCCACCTTGAAGTGTTATATGTCAATTATATATCAATAAAGCTGGGGGTAAATATTTTTTAAAAATAAATGAAACTCCGGGTGAACCTGGGTGGCTCAGTCAGTTAAGCATCTGCCTTTAGCTCAGGTCATGATCCCAGGGTCCTGAGATCAAGCCCTGTGTCAGCCTCCTTGTTTGGTAGGGAGTCTGCATCCCCCTCTCCCTCTGCCCACCCTGCCCTCCCTACTCATGCTTTCTTGCTCTCTCTCAAATAAATAAAATCTTTAAATAAAAAATAAAAATTCTAAAAAATAAAAGTTTTTAAAAATAAAAAAGAAATGAAATTCTTAATGAAAAATACACATAGTAATATCCACCCCCAAAAAAGGAATGTGAATATAGATATAGGCATAGAAGGTATCTAAAAGGGTAGAGCAAAGTTTTGTTCAATGGCTGCTATTAGGAAGTGGAGTTTTGAAAGCGTGGCAGGAGCTAGGAAGTGTAGAGCATACTGAAGACTTTTGCACATTACTTGATATGATTTTGAACTGGTTTAATTTCTTTTACATAAACATGGAATTTGTTATTGGTTTTTTTATTTTTTTTTTTAAAGATTTTATTTACTTATTTGATAGAGACACAGCGAGAGAGGTAACACAAAAGGGAACACAAGCAGGGGGAGTCGGAGAGGGAGAAGCAGGCTCCCTGCCGACCAGGGAGCCCAATGGGGGGCTCGATCCCAGGACCCTGGGATCATGACCCGAGCCGAAGGCAGATGCTTAACGACTGAGCCACCCAGGCACCCTTGTTATCCTTTTTAAATTTGCTATGATTAAAACATATATGTAACAAGCACTCAGTATACATGAGTTAATGTTGAAAACATGCTTACTATGGCCACCCAGCCCAGTTTGCCTTAATATCCACCCTTTTATTGATCTATGTATTTATATTTATACAAATACATGGTTTACATTTATATTTTTATAAAATAAATTCATACAAACATTTGCACTCATTTTTGAATTCTGTATCTCACACGAATGACTCAGCATGATTTCTAAAACTGGCACAAACAAAAGCTATTATCAAAAAAATAAGAAGTAAGCGCTGGTGAGGATGTGAAGAAATTGAACCCCTTGTGCACTGTCAGCAGAAATATACAACAATGCAACCTCTGTGGAAATAGCATGGCCGTTCCTCAAAAAAACTAAAAATAGGACGACCATCTGACCCAGCAATGCCACTTCTGGGGATACACCCGAAGGAATTGAAAGCAGGGTCTCCAACAAGACATTTGTATACCCATGTTCATTGCAGCACTATTCACAATCACCCAAAGGTGGAAGCAAACCCAAATGTCCATCGACAGAGGCATCGATAAATAAAATCTGGTGTATACATCCAATGGAGTATTAGCCTTAAAAAGGAAGGAAATCCTATTACAGGCTACAACATGGATGAACCTTGAGGACATCATGCTTAGTGAAGTAAACCAGTCTCAAAAAGACAAATACCGTATGATTCCACTAATACTAGGTATCTAACGTAATCAAATTCATAGAGACAGAAAGGAGAGTGGTGGTTGCCAGGGGCTGGGGAAGGGAGCAATGGGGAGTTGCTGTTTAATGGGGACAGAGTTTCAGTTTTGCAAGATGAGAAATTCTGAAGATGTTTCACAACAATGTGAATATACTTAACACTACTGAACTGTACGCTTAAAAATGGTTAAAATGGCAAATTTTATGTTATGTGCTTTTTACCACAACTTTTAAAGAAAACATAAAAACTGGCACAAACAGTATTTTGTTCTCTTAACAATCCTTTGAGCTAATTATTAAACCCATTTTACAGGCAAAAAAAACAAAAACAAAAAAACACTGAGGCTCAAGGAAGACATGGCAAGATCGCAGCTAAGATGGATCAGCCAGGCTGCAGCCCAGAACCCAATCAATAAGGCCTATCAAAACAACTGGGGCGCCTGGGTGGCTCAATCGGTTAAGCGTCTGCCTTTGCCCTGGGTCGTGATCCTGGGGTCCCGGGATCGAGCCCTGCGTCGGGCTCCCTGCTCCTCGGGAAGCCTGCTTCTCCCTCTCCCACTCCTCCTGCTTGTGTTCCCTCTCTCGCTGTCTCTCTCTCTGTAAAACAAGTAAATAAAACTTAAAAAAAAAAAAAAACTACAGAAAAAAGTCGACATGGTGCCAGTCAACTCTGGTTTCCTGTTATGTATTAATGGGTGAAGTGTACATTGTTCCTCTCCCATCAAATTAAACAGCATTCCTAAGTGAGAATTAAAATAAACACTTCTTACTCGTCCCAGCCTGTCTCTGTTCGGTATTTTTGGCATATGTATGCAATTGCAGCCAGCTGATCATCTAAAACAAAATATTGCATGGCACTGTGCTATTTACTGGGAACAAGTCACTTATTTTATTAAATAAAGTGCAAATGGTTTTATATACCTTGAAAAAGTTTGTCCAGTTTCACTGAAATTCAGTCGAGCAAATATTTTTTTTTTAAAGATTTTATTTATTTATTTGACAGAGAGAGATACAGCGAGAGAGGGAACACAAGCAGGGGGAGCAGGAGAGGGAGAAGCAGGCTTCCCACCGAGCAGGGAGCCCGATGCGGGGCTCGATCCCAGGACCCTGGGATCATGACCTGAGCCGAAGGCAGATGCTTAACGACTGAGCCACCCAGGTGCCCCTCAGTCAAGCAAATATTTAAAGGATATCAATGCGAAAGAAAACCAACTTCTTGGCCTCCTCAGAGCACCAACTTTTGCCTGCTTTGTCCACCCACCTGCCTCACTCAGCTTGTGATCCCAGGACACACCAATCCTAGTACAAGTTCTGTCACCACACTTAACCTCATTAATTTTTAACATAATGATCTGTAATTGTTTCTTGCCCTAGACTGAGAGCTCCAGCAGGGCTGGGACAGTGTTTTATGCATCTTTGTATCCCTAAGACCCAATCCCCTTCCCATGTGCCTGGACCATAGAGGTATCACTACGTATTTGTTGACGGACTGGATAAATGAAAAGATGTTTGAAACCTGGGGCTAGCCCTGACTCTCACGCAGGGGTGAGAAGTTCTAGTTCAATACTACACAACTCGGCAGAAATTCAAGCTGGCTTCTGGTCAATGTGACCTTGAACTACAGTTTAAGTAACTGAGCTTTATATTGTCCTAACAACTTCAGGCTCAAAATTCAGTACTCAAAAGTCCTCCTAGTCTTAGGGCTCATCTTTCTCTGAACTTTCTTCATCCCTCCCTCCATTTGCTCACTCATTCAACATTGTATTCATCAGATGTCTATTAACTGGTCACTAAGTCTCATGCACCCTTCTGGGCACTAGGGATACATCAGTGGAGGGGAAGAAAACAGACAAGGATCCTTGCCCCCTTGGAGCATCTGGAAAGAAGAAAAAGTATATTGAGAATTCCACGGGTGGTCAGGCTGGGAAGGGGAGACCTCATGAGAAGGTAAAATCTCAGCAAGCATATAAAGGGGGTAAGGGAGTGAGTCAAGCAGGAGCCAGGACAATGGAATTCCAATTTGCATTCGAGCTACTGCCAACACTCGAAGGCTGGAGGTAGCCTGGCATGTTCAAGAAGTAGAGTCAACAGTGGGAGAAGAGCTGTGGCCAGAGAGGGGGAGCGACTGTATGGGCATGAGCTCACCCCTTCAACCACGTCTCCTCTTTGCTTCATCTCGACCGTGTATTGCAATCCGGGGAGCCCAAAGTCAGAGAGACCCGGGCCAGTCTTCCCTTTCCACCTTGTACCCACTCTGTAATCTTGGGAAGTGGCTCCCTCCTACCTGTGAAATAAGCACTTTATGCAAGTGGTCAGTTGATCTTTCGAAATGCTCTGTGACACTGGGAAAACGCATTTCCACTGTAAAGGTTAAAAACTGAGGCTTATAGGTTTCTTTCAAGAGAACTCAGGAACGTGCTCAGAACAGTCAGCTTGGGAAATGACTGAATTGGGATGCGAACTCTGGTCCTCTGATCCCAAAGCCTGTGTCCTTCCTCACTACCCATGAGCTGTTCTCTACACGTGTCAGAGTCTGCTACGTAATAAGTGCTCAATAAACGTGATTCCTTTCTCTCTCATCACCTTGATGAGTTCCCTGAGGTCGTCTGCCTTCTTGGAAGATCTCTGAGTGCTGTCTGCTCCTCAGCAGCTCATTTCTCATGAGCACCCTCTTATTTCCCAGAACAAGCCCACCAGCGCCGAATGCCTGTCTATTGTCATGGCAGCCTGCCCTGGGGCAGGTCATATCTTCACTTGTAAACTGGGTGTGATGATGATGCCTGCATGCTCTGATGATGGACACGTCAGAGAGAATCCCTGGAAGGTATTTCTCACAGAGCTTCCAGCCTCTAAGAGGCCCTTGACGCTAGGTAATCATCATGCCTTCCAGAACTTGCTTTTTGTCTCCCCGACTGGCCTCACCAGCAGTAGACTGAGCCAGCCCCACTCCAAAGGTGGGAGGGGGGCGCGGGGACTGTGGGTTCTTACCCCCTGGAGCTTCCTCAGAAATCCTTCCCATCGCTGGCCATGGCACCAGACGTGACAAATACATCTAATGCTCTAAACAAGCATGTATATTTGATACTTCTAATGTTTCAGCTACAAATGTGAGGAAAAAAAAGGCAACTAACTCCATTGGGGCCAATTTAGACTGTTTATGTACTTACAGTTTTCCTGGAATTCAAACACTGGAAATACAAGTTCACTAATCTTTACAATCTACACCACTTTCCCTTTTAGAAGATTAGTACAAACAGGGCTGTGGGTGTGGCGTTGCTCAGCTCCAGGAGGTATCACTGTCCCGTGAGTCCTCGTGGGGCTGGGCAGCCAGTGACCCTAGCGACAAAAAAGGACAGATGTGCACCCGTCCCCCACGCTGCTGTGCGTGTCGGCTGCTGGGCTCTCAGCTGCCACCTTCTCTGGAGAATTGGCCTTCCCAAAGGGAGCTCCAGCCAGACCCAGGAAGCCAATGGAAGGAGGACAAAATGGTTAACATGTAGACACGTTGGATGAGTGTCAGCAATCATCTTCGTCACCAGTGCGGGTGGTCCTTCATGACTGGCTGGCCTGAGGCTGCATGAGAGCCTGGCTCCTGGTCCTAACACAGGGCTCTTCCCACTGAATGACATTATGGATCCAACCCAGCTCTGTCTCAAGATTGTGATTTTGACCCAACCACTCTCTCAGTCAAAATTCAGATGTAGCTCCCAAGTTGGCATTCTTTCCAGACTGAACAAAAGTTATGAGTCATGGAGAAAGGAGTCCAAGAAGAGACTCAGATTTCCAAATCCAAACCTCAGAAAAATAGAAGCAAAATGTTTTCTTTGGAGAGCACACATCCCTGCCCTGAAAAAAAAATAAATAAATAAATAAATCTCAATTTCTAACACTTAAAGCATAACCTATCAAAATAGCTGGACTGGGCTGAGTATATTGCTGCTGTGATAAATTTCACAATGATTTAATATCATTTTAAACAATTCACATTTTAAATAATGTCAGTGACTCCAAAGATGGAATAGTCCTGTAGCAATATACATCTACTTGTGTGTGAAATATGTCCTTGTTTCCTAAAAGAAGGCTTGCAAAAGGATTTAACTCAGAACTACTTAAATTGATTTAATTTGACTATTTGCCTCAATTTTCAGCAAATTGGCCACTTTCTATATAAATCACCTTATAACATTAAAAGATACTAAACAATGATAATGCTTATTAAGGCATAACCCTATCTCAAGCAAATTCTTTTAATGTGGGAAATATATTTTCTTTCTCTAAAGATAATAGTAAATGCTTGGAATTTTCCATCGTTGAACTAAAAGAACATTAGAGCCCCATCTGGTGGATTTGATGCTTATTCAGGAAATAAAATGAAATTTTTTACCAAGCCATTTACTGAGCACTGTGCTGGGTTATTGCTTTCAGAATGTGGATGTTAATCTCTGTCTCTTTGTTTTCCATTCGGTGTGTAAATCCTTCTGAGTGGTGGACTTGTCCCTCCAACATCCGCCCACCCCCTCTCTCTTGTCCTAGAGAAACAGCCTTCAGCTAGACAGTGATTAACACAGTTCTCTATATAATAAACATTATAAAAAGAATAACATTTCAAAAGGATATATGATCACAAAATAGAGAGATTATAAAATCTAATTACATAATTACATCACAGCATAAATATTAGATGTGATACATAGACATTATAAATTATCAAATTTATAATATTAAAACATATATATATTAAACTTCATATATACCTCATAAGTACATATAAGATACACTATCAAGCATAGACAAGTTTCAGGAAGAGAATACTAAGGGCCCTCATTGTCTCAACTAAGAAGATAAGACTATCTATTAAGGTAGAAGGAAGGCAGCTAGGCAAAGGACTGGAATAGTTGAGAATGGGGCAGGAGAGCTCCTTTCAGAAAAGTAAAAATAATAATAATAAAAATTTTTAAGTCAGATGGTATTAGGTGTCCAGCTAGGATTGAAGGGAGACGGGGGGGTGGGGGGAGAGACACCACGTTTATCTGGTTACCGTAAATATCAGCAATTTAGCAATATTTGACACTGGAGTTCTGCCAAGTGTATGCTTTTAGAATATTTATAGCAGGTAGAACACAACCGGACCACCAGGTTTTTGAGAGTGCTCTGAATCTTAGGACCTCTTTTCCCTCTGGTCCACCGGCTGGTTCTTTCTATTTACTCTGTCTGTCCTTTCTCTACCACTTAACTTCTCTTGACTCACCATTTCCATGACTCCTTCTTGACTTTACCTAGAACCCAGCCCATCAGGAGTTTCCCATACCTCATTTTTCATAATAACCTTTGGGTTTCAGCAAACTTTCTCTGTGATGAGGGGAAGTTTGACCAGCTTATTGAATGGCAGTCCTTAGGTTAAATTCCCATTCTTGCTCCATAACAGGAGTAGGGCGGGAGGTGGGGATGCGATCACACCATGCCCACTGGCCTCCCCTTTCATCAATGACTGTGGACAGAGGCTTCCTCCAAGGGGGGCTAGAGTACCTCTTTGTAAAAAGTAATATTTCACCACATCACTTCCCATTCAAATCTCTTCAATGGTATCTCAGGTATCATATGGTAGACATTCTGCGATCTGCTTGTCCAATACATTCCTTCTTCCAATTTACAGATCGGTACTCTGCATTCTCCACAAGTTGCTTGTGGAGCTCGTGAGCAAGAATCAAACCTTACTCCCTTTCGTCGTGTGGAGTAAAATAGAAGTTTCGAATGTGAAAATTAACAAATATGATCCAAAGTTTCTTATGACTTCCGTCAAGTTATGAAAGTTATGAGGCTCAAGCCGAAACACCATCTAACTTTTCTAGACCAAATAGTCTTTAAAAAAAAAAAAAAAAGGAACTACCAGAAATGGAAACATGCATAATCCACTTACTTCAACCAGCGTCTTCTGAGTACACAGATGGCCACAGGACTGAGCTGGATGACTCCGCAAATAAGAAAATTTACACTCCATGATGGAGACTGATGGGCCGCTCCATCTTTAATTCTGTATTATACTATCTGTTCTCCTTTTCTGTGTATATTATGGGCAAAAGAAGCCAAACAGAGCTGAACCCAACATGCTCAGAAAGTATGCTGTGTTTTCCAAAAAGTTCTTGAAAACATCTAACCTGGGAGCTTCCCGCACACCTCACTTGGGCCCCAGATGCAGGAGTTTAGTTCCAGACATCATGCTATGAGGCAGTTGTAGGCATAATATGGCCCGTTCATGAGCTAGAAAGGACTATAACAAGGCGATGTTTTTTACTAGAAGCTTCAACAGCGACAAGAGACTCTTAGAAATCTCCACCTCTCACAACCCTCCATTTTACAAATATAGAAAGTATGTTTCAAGGAAGTGAACAGTTTGGACCGAGGCCACATGATGAACAGCAACGTGGGGTCCATGTCTTCTGGAGGTGCCATCCGTATCTGACCTGGAGAAGAGGAGACTCGAAGAGACAGATGGCCAACGACTGGAAAGGCGATCAAGGGAGAGAGAAGCTGCCTTTCCCCCCAGCAGCCCCCGCACATGAAGAAGGAGCCAGCACGCCAGCTTTTCCCTCCTTTTGTCACATATTAAATCAACTCACACTTGTTCCCTCCTCCCATCATACAAACAGCATAAGTGATGTAGGAAATAATGAAAGATGTTTTACACGGTGAGCTGTGTCCTGCTCTCCCCGTGACTCACCAAGTGCTCTGCTTCTAGTCGTCTCACCTTCTTCCGGTTCCAATTCTCTTTTAGTAAAGTTGGCCTGCTTTCATTTTCCACTCTTTGTCCCCAGAGGTATATAAAAGTCAGGATTTTACTGTGATGCAATACTATCACTACTTCTTAGTGAAAAGCAAGGCATAGGAACAAAGAAATATCATCTGTGTTCTTAATTATTTACTATTTTTTAAGCAAGGTTTCATCTAGAGGAAGTTGTGCTCGTTCCTCATTGGTTGCCTTAGCTCCAAATCCGCCTTTCTTTGCCCGGCTTTTTAACACTGGAATTGGCCCCTGGAGATGTTCCTCCTCCGCCACTTAGCTCGATGTTTGGCTTGGCCAACAGGGGGCGCCGGAGGGACACTGCCTGGCGAAGCAGGAGGCGGGGACTGTCCCCTCCTCTGCAGCGCTCACCTCCGCAGCCTCAGACCAGCTGCTGCCCAGACCCCCGGGGCGTGTCCCCTGTCCCCGGGACTGCTTTGTGGCTTTCATGCCCTCACCAAAGAGGACTGGATCCAAACTGGTGGAGGGCAGGGATCTCTTCTTCTAAGTTCTTTTCTTGCTCACATTCCCTCCTTCATAGCTGTAGTAGCTGCTTTCTGTGTTTGCTCTCTGCGTACTCCACTAGGGCTTTATTTCATCTAGGGAACTGCCTTTTTACTAAGTAACAATTCTTTTTTTTTTTTTTAGAGGGAGGGAGAGATGGGTGGGGAGGAGCAGAGGGAGAGAGAGAATCTCAAGCAGGCTCCATGCCCAGCACAAGCCCCAGGCGGGTTTGTGGCTCACCACCCTGAGATCATGACCTGAGCCAAAATCAAAAGTCAGTCGCTTAACCTACAGAGTCACCCAGGTGCCCCTAGGTAACAATTCTTTGTATTAAATGTGACCTACTTAAATTCCTGGCACGGTTGCTGTACCTTAGCTGAATCTCTTTCTCAGTGTGACTCTGGCTCAAAATCCCTTTTCTGCCCTACCCTCTACCTCCATATAAAATTAATTGCACCTTTACTCATTTTTATTTCCAAAGTCTTTGAAAAACCTTACCCCATTTTTCATTCCCAGGACCACCCACTCTGACCCAGAACCACATTATCTCATATGTAGATTTGTTTCTACCTTTTTCTGGTGTCTCTCTTTCCATATAACCAACGCACCATTGTAAAAGTAACCTTTCACCACATCAGTTCCTATTCAAATCTCTTCAATGGTATCTCCCTGAATACAGGGAAAATATCAAACTTGGTAGCTGGATGTGACACAATACATACATAGCCCCATCTTTGGGGGGACCATTATTCTGCCTCATATGGAGGAAATATATATATATATAAAATAATACATCTTTTTATATATTATTTTATATTTTTTAAATTATATTTTAATATAATTTTAATATAATATTTTAATTATATGTTATTTTATGTATAAATATATGTGTGTGTATACACACACACACACACACATATATATATGGCAGAGAAAGAGAGAGAGAGAAATTCATTTCAAGGAATTGGCTCACACAGTTGTCAGGGGTAGCAAGTCCAAAATCTCAGGCAGAAGTTGATACTGCAGTCTCGTGGCAGAATTTCCTCTTCTTCAGGGAAACTTCAGTGTTTGCTTCCGATCTTTCAACTGATGGGATGAGGCCCACCCAAATTACTGAGGGTAATCTCCTTAAGATCGACTGATTCTAGATGCGAAGCACACCTACAAAATACCTTCCATCAACACCTAGAAACGGGTTTTGATTGAATAACAGGGTACTATAGCCAGGCCAAGCCGACACATAAAGCTAACCATCAACATGGCAAGGAAGAATTAAGGTTTCAGATGGAATTAAGGCTGTTAATCAGCTTACCTAAAAATAAGGAAATTGTCCTGGATGATCCAGGTGGAATCATTAAATGTGGAAGGGGGAGGCAGAAAAGTCAGTGTCGGAGGGCACTTAGTACTTTAACAGAAGGTCATTATCTTACAACACCTCTTTCTTACCACAGTTTTGCTTTGTGATTTAACACATGCAGTTAGTTCTTTACACTTTCTGACAATACATCTTTTCTGCTCAGTAGCGTAAAGTCCATCAGAGCTGGTATTTCATGTTAAACTCCTTTATATCCCCAACACCCATCAAAATAAGTCATGTGTATCTCACACACACACACACACACATACACACACACACTCACGGGGACATGGCCAGAGTGAATGTCAATGACTAAAGTGTACTAAGATAGTAACTGCTCTGTACCTTCATACATAAGGAAGAAAAATGAGGGTAGGTTTGTGCTGGAAGATATGTACAGTATGAAGCTATAGTAATTAAAACAGAATGGTATCCAGTTGCACTGTGTATTTGCAGTTCGATCATTCCTTTCGCCACATAGGATTCCATGGTATGAAGATGCCACATTTGACTTATCCATTCTACCATTGGCGGACATTAGGATTGCTGTTTATTTTGGATTATTACATACAGTCATCTGAGAACTCTTACAGGTCTTTTGGTGAACATATGTATTCATTTCTGTTGCGAATGTACCTAGTAAGAGTCATTTTAATTTTGAAATCCTACCTATAAAAACAATTCTGAACATTCTCAAAGAGGCTGATATTTTTAAATTCTGAGTTCCGGACTCAAACTTTCGGGAAGAGCCCTTTACTATCTTCCCTTATCTGAAAAATAAATAAATTTCTGTGAAACAAAGGGCCCCAAACATTGAAATGTACCCAATATTAATAGCATAGAAAGTGTACTAGAAAAGAATATTAGCACTTAACTGATTTGTACCTTCAGCTCAGCATTGTGAGTTTTATTTTGGGGAGTGTTCAAATTCTGATTTCCTTAATATACTTTAATCTCTACAGAAAATGGATTCTGGCAGCCAGAACCAAAAGCCAAGTAATTTTTGCCTCAGTTCAGTCCAAATTCACTCTCCAGAGGACTGGTTGATTGAAGGTTATGTTGAAGGAGCATAAAAATAAGATTTTTCCAGTTGTCAGTGATCCATCTGCAGCTTTTCTTTTCCAGAACACGCCAGCCAAGAGCAGGACAGTCAAGGGATATGGGTAACAATGTTAATGAGTGGAAATACAGAATGGCACAGCCACTTTGGAAGATAGTTGGGGTTTCTTATGAAGCTAAACATAGTCTTACCATATGCTTCAGCCATCATGCTCCTTGGTATTTTTCCAAATGAACTTTAAATGTATGTCCACACTAACCCCTGCACACAAATGTTTATAGCAGCCCATTCATAATTGCCCAAACTTGGCAGCAACCAAGATGTCCTTCAGTGGGTGAAGGGGTAGACAAACTATGGTACATCTATGCACAATGAAATATTATTCAGAGATAAAGAGAAATGAGCTATTCATGATAATGAGGTACCCTTATGATATCACACCTGTTAAGATGGCTACTATTTTAAAAAAATTTTTTAACAGAAAAGAACAAGTGTTTGTAAAGATGTGGGGAAATTGGAATACTTGTGTACTGTTGGTGGATGTGTAAAGAGGTGCAGTCACTATGGAAAACAGTGTGATGTTGCTCAAAAAAGTAAAAGTAGGGGCGCCTGGGGGGCTCAGTCGGTTAAGCGTCTGACTCTTGATTTCATCTCAGGTCATGATCTCAGCATCATGAGATCAAGCCCCGAGTTGGGCTCTGCACTGAGCATGGAGGCTGCTTAAAATTCTCTCTCTCCCTCTCCTTCTACCTCTCTGCCCCCACCCCCGCCCCAGCTCACACGTGCACGCTCTCTCTCTTTCTCTAAAAAAAAAAAATATTAGTTAATTAAAAATAAAACAATATGACCCAGCATCAGGGTCTTAAGGTGATATTTGCACACTCATATTCATAGCAGCATTTTTCGCATTAGCCAAAGGATAGAAGTCACCCAAGTATCCATGGATAGGTGACTAGATAAACATTCAAACAAAATGTGGTATACATGCAGTAGAATAGTATTCAGTCTTTTTTTTTTTAAAGATTTATTTATTTATTTGAGAGAGAGAGAGCATGAGAGGGGGAGAGTCAGAGGGAGAAGCAGACTCCCCGCCGAGCAGGGAGCCCGATGCGGGACTCGATCCCGGGACTCCAGGATCATGACCTGAGCCGAAGGCAGTCGCTTAACCGACTGAGCCACCCAGGCGCCCAGAATAGTATTCAGTCTTAAAAAGGAAGGACATTCGGACATTTGCGACAACATGGATGAACCTTGAGGACATCGGGCTAAGTGAACTAAGCCAGACACAAAAAGAAAAATACTCTGTGGTTCCACCTGTACGTGGCACATAGAGTAGTCAGATTAATAGAGAGAAAAAGTAGAATGGTGTTTGTTGGGGGACTGGTGACTAGTGGGGAATGGGGAGTTATAGTGCAATGGGTACAGGGTTTCAGTTTTGCAAAATAAGAAAGTGGTGATGGTTGCACACACTAAACCGTACACTTAAAAATGGCTAAAATGGTAACCTTTATATATTATATATATATAATTACATTATATAAGTTATATATAACATATAAATTATTTATATAATATATATTATATATGTAATATATAAATAATTATATATGTATATAAATATAACATATAACATATATAAAAATATATTATATATATTTTACCACAATTTAAAATAATTTAAAGAAGGAAGGAAGGGGCCACCAAGCTAAGAAAAACATGGAGGGAACTTAAATGCATGTGGCTAAATGAGAGAAGTCATTCTGACCATCTATAAACTCTGTAATTCCAACTGCATGACATTCTGGAAAAGGCAAAACTATAAAGATAGTAAAAAAAATCAGTGGTTGCCCAGAGTTCGAGGGAGAGGAAGTGAGTGATGTGTAGGTAGGTCACAGGGGATTCTTAGAGCAGAGAGACTATTCATCTGTGTGATGTTTTATAGGTGGGTACGTCTCGTTACACAGTGGCTGAAACCCCGAGAGCCCTACAACACAAAAAGTGAACTCG